AGTATATCTGGGCAAATCAATAACTTATGGATTGCAGTTTGGAGCCAGTCTGCACTTGTATAACTTCCTTTTCTCAACAGTATGCTAAATTCTATATCATTGGATAAAATAATGACAATATCATTAGAATTACCTTATGCCTCAAGGGGATGTTTATAATGTTCTTTATCATAAAACAATAGAGACCTCTAACGTGAACCAGAGACATACATAAACCATAGGTAAGTGCTTGGATTTGGGGCTAGTACTTAATTCTAGCCCAGATCCAAGAACAACTAGTTCTTATGACATGGCCCTGCTCAATGCTCACTCTCAGGAAGAGATCACTGAAGGTACGGGTGCTACAGCAAAGGGTGTTGAAGAAACCAAATGGTGCTCAGCTATCAGAAAGAATAGCATCTTGGATCTTAAAGTCTTGTCTTTAAACAAGCAACTATCTAAACGAGATGTCACCTAAGCCCACATGTTAGAAGCACACCAGCCTGTGTGATCCAGGGATTATGTATAACAAATTCTAAATCTGAAGGAAGTTGAATTATGAAGATTCAATTAGCAGAAGGTTATGGATTACATTGGGAGCCCAGAATCCACTTTCAGGGTGTGTGCATGACTTAAGCCTCTACTGGATATCCCTCATAGTCATGGGATGTGAATAACCTAGCTATCAGACAGAGTATAGTAAACTTAATTATGGAAAATGTAATTAGGTTAAAATGTAATACCTGAAAGTTTGATATTCCTTTTGACCCATTTAAAATTTGTTCTAGTTTTTAATATTTCCTGCTTTTTTTCAATTAAGGTTTTCCCCCTCTGGTTTATTTTTATAGTGTTGGTTTTTTCTTTATATATATTTGCTGCGGGTTTTTTTTTTTGCGGGAGGCGGGTGTTATTGGTATGTTTTCAAATATATAAAATCCAGGATAGACAGATCTATAGAGACAGTAACCAGTGTAATGGCTTATAGGGAGTAAGGGGATGATGGGATGTTGGAGGAAAATGAAGCATAATGAATCAAGAAGGAAGAAAATGTTCTAGAACTGACTGTAGTTATGGTCATACAACTCTTTTTAATATGACTGAAATATGAAAGTGTATGATATATGAATTATATCTCAATAAATATATTTTAAAGGATCATAGTTAACTGGAGAAAGTTTTGTTGTGTATATTTTTGCCATGATTAAGTCATAATTTACATGAATAACAATAAGTACAAATAAGAAAGTTTTAAAATTGATTGTAGCAATGATTTTACAACTCTTCTTGATATGATCGAAATATTTATTGAATTGTATGATATGTGGATGAAGTGTTAATAAAACTGTTAAAAAATAAAAATAGTTGAGGGTTGTGAATAGCCTTGTGATCAGACAGAGAGCATTGTAAAGTCAATTATGAGAGACGTAGTTACTCTACAATGCAATATCTTAGAATTTGATCTCTCTTTTGACCCATTTTAAAGTTGTCTCAGTTAAAAGACAGTGGGGCAGTGGGGAGGGTGGAATGTGGATTAAGCTTCTAATGAACCCCCTCTGACCACAGACCAGGGATATTAATAACCTGGCTATCTTACAGAATGCTTTGGAGAGTATTATTGCAGATGCGGTTAGGTTAAAATTTAAGACCTTATCATTTGATCTCCCTTTTGAGTCATTTTAATTTGTTCTAGTCATTAATATTTTCAGCTTACTTTTTGATGGAAGTAATTATCTGTTTTACTTATAAAATCCAGAGTAAGTAAATCTATAGAGACAGTAAATTGACTAATGTTTATTGGGGGTATGAGAGGGAGGTTGGGAGAAAATGAGGAGCTAAGCATGATGAGTACAAGAATGAAAAAAATATAAGATTGATTGTGGTGATGATTATTCAATTGTTCTTGATGTGATTAGCTATTGAATTGTATGGTATGTGAATTGTATGCCAATAAGACTATTTTTAAGAAAGAAGTAAAAGGACAAGATGGTAGGAATATTGGAGAGTAGAGCATGTCTGACCTCAGCAGCATATGAATCAGCCTTGGGTAATGTGAAATGAGGGTTCAGGTGACATGGCACAAATGCCGGGTTTTTTTACATTCACCAATCATTATTTTGTACATTTAATGCCATTATGGAAGACAGGGTTGTTTTGTTATATAATGTCCTTTCTGTACTCTGTATCTGACTCTATGAATGATGAGCCTTTGAAATGCTATCACCAACCTGGAAAGTAACCTGCGTTGGTCCTCACCCCACCCCCAAATACTCAGGTTCTCATACTTGGGGTTGGCCCAACATTTACTTGCCCAACAAAACTTGAATTTTGTACACCTTGTGATGGGGTAATCCTGCTCAGGGAGTTTTTGCCATTTAATAACCAAACACTCACTTATTGCCTTAACTTATTTAAAAAATTTAGCTGACTTATATGTACCTCTTCCAATGAAAATCCTGAGGTACGTTCCAGGATTTAGTAAATATTTGGAGTCAATATAGTTCAAGTTGCTTTGGATTTCTAAACATTCAAATGAAGAGTAAAAGCTTTAGTCTGTGTGTATTCAAGATAGGTTTGCTCAGTGAGCTTAATTCAGTCCATGGACCTATTTTGTTGTGTTTCTTGTTGTTTTAGGTGGGGTGTTTTGCTTTTTAGAAAAGTTTTCATGGTGAATTTGGTGAAGGTTTACAGAGCATATCATGAGGTTTACGTTCAACAAGTAATATATATTTTGTTTCAACTCATCCATTGCGTCCCTTCAGTGAATTATAACATTTCGCTTTCACCGTGTTTCTGTTTCCATTCCTCCATCTTCCCTAACGCTTCCGTTTTTTTCACTGGTTAGTGCTGCTTTTCTGTATTAAATGGTTAACTATTCTACCACAGAGGTGAGTCCAATTCCAGACCTGAAGGCTGACTGAGAGCCATAGTCTTGGGGGTTTCACCAGTGCATCTGAATACACTGTAAGACCAGTAAGTCTGGTCTCTTTTATGATTTTGAGTTTTAGTCAGTATTTTACTTCCACTCTATCCAGGACCTTCAATGTGATTCTTTCCGGAGTAGTTGGAAGAGGTAGTTGGGCACCACTGAATTCTGCTCTCAGGACTGTGGAATCCAAAGATTTTAAGTGAAGGTGCAAACAACAGCAGTAACACCTATGCCAGTGCCTTGAGGCTGACCAGCTTGATTCCCTGAAACTGTGAGGCGCATGTCTCTGCTTGGTGATGGCCAACAAGGCCTAGAGCTGAACAAAAATGGAGATGAGAATTATGGCAGCATCTTTCCAGTTTTAGCCAAAGTTTCTATGGTGCATGAACTAGAATTCTATATCCTTGACAAATTACAACCTGGAATGTGGCCTGCAGAATATTGATGAGCATTTCCGATAGAACTGACCTTATGTCTGGAAAGAGACTTCACCAAATAACCTAGCATCCCAAGTCCAACAACTAAGAAATCACTTTTTATGGGTTTCTACTATTTAAATGATCTTTAAAATAACAGATTATTTCTAATCACTTTTGACTGGAAATATTGCTCAAAAAGATACTGAGACATACACAGAAAATTAACAATCTTTAAAATACCTCACAGAAGAAATACACCCAAGGTGTTTATTAGCTGTATGAGGTGTCTATCTATAACCAGTTAACTAATTTAGAAGCATAGAACAGCACAACCACAGTTTAAAATATCCTGAGAAAAGAAGTAGGAGGCAAAGGACATTTCTAGAGGTCTAAATACAGGTATGTACATATGTAAATGTACTTACATATAATGATAGGGAAATAGATCTATATACTTATATTTATATGTTAAGTATTAAGGTAGCAGATGGACATTGGGCCTCGACTCAAGTACTCCCTCAATACAAGAACATTTTGTTCTAATAATTCAGTATTCTGTGATGTTCACCTTCCCGACAAGATCTCTGAAGACAAAATGGGTGCATAAGCAAATGTGGTGAAGAAAGCTGATGTTGCCTGGCTACCAAAAGATATAGCATCTTGGGTCTTAAAGGCTTGAAGATAAACAAGCAACCATCTAGCTGAGAAGCAACAAAGCCCACAAAGAAGAAGCACACCAGACTGTGTGATCATGAGGTGTCAATGGGATCAGGTATCAGGCATCCAAGACTCAGAACAACAATCATATCAATGTGAATGAGGGGGAGTGCGGAGTGGAGACCCAAAGGCCATCTGTAGACAATTGGACATCCCTTTACAGAAGGATCACAAGGAAGAGACGAACCAGTCAGGGTGCAGTAGAGCACCGATGAAACACACAACTTTCCTCTAGTTCTTTAATGCTTTCTTACGCCCCAGTATCATGACCTCAATTCTACCTTATTAACCTGACTACACCAGAACATGTACACTGCTACAGATGAGAGCCCACAACACAGGGAATTCAGGACAGATAATCCCCTCAGGACCAATTATGAGAATAGAGACACCAGGAGGGTAGGGAGAAGGTGTGGGGATAAAGGGGGAATCGATCACAAGAATTGATATATAACCCCCTCCCAGGGGAATGAACAACAGAAAAGTGGGTGAAGGGAGACAGAGGAAAATGTAAGATGTTAAAATAATAATCTATAATTTACCAAGGGTTCATGAGGGAGGGAGGGTGAAAAGTGAGGGTGAAAAATTTACCAAGGATTCATGAGGGATGGAGGGGGAAGTGAGCAGATATTAAGGGCTCACGTAGAAAGAAAATGCTTTGAAAATGATGATGGCAACATATGTACAAATGCTTGACACTGGATGAATGTATGGATTGTGATAAGACCTGTAAGAGCCCCCAAAAATGTATTAAATATATATATCCTGAAAAACATTTAATCATGTTCTGAAACACTGTTATCTTCTATTGTGTCCAGTCAATATGCATTACTGTTCTTTATAAGTGATGATTTATATAAACTGTTAGGTTTGAAAAACAAATTGCTATGGTATAGTTATCAAATTTCAGAGATGTTTCTAATGTTGTTTTTCTGATTCTTATTTCTCCTTTCCACCAGGGTTCAGAAATAGTTACAGGTAATGCAAAACTTGGCAATTACTTCAGAATTCATATTAATAAGTATAAAATGGTTGAAACAATCACGTGCCTTTCTAAGGAACCTTTCCCTGCCTCCAACTACATCCGCTTGTTTGGCCAGCATGAACAAGTCCTCAACAACCTTTGTGCTCGATACGAAAACAAAATGATCACAGACCTCTACGAGTAAGTAGATGTTACGTTTTAAAAAGGGGAACTGTAAATAGATATATGGTCTTAAATATATACATTTATATAATGTAGTGTCATTTTCCATGTGTCTGCCCGTTTGTCATACTGTGGTGGCTTCTGTGCTGCTGTGAAGCTGGAAGCTCTATCACTGGTATCAAGTACCAGCAGGGTGAACTAGTTTCTGCAGCACTTCCAGGTTAAGAGCAGACGATAAAGAAGGACTAGGCCACTGAAAACCTTACAGATAGTCGTGAAACATTATCAGTTACTAAAAACCTCATGAATAGCACCAGAATATTTTCACAGATAATACCAAATGATGAGCGTTTCCGGTCGAAGACACTCACAATAGGACTGAACTGAAGGGAAAGTCATAATGACGTGAATGGAGTAAAGCCTTTGAGAGTAAAGCTTACTGCACCCTGCTTGACTCATCCCTTCCCTGTGCCCCCTCTGTAGGGGGGATTGTTCCATTGTCTACAGATGGGCTTTGGATGTCTGCTCCACCCCCACCCCCCCCAATCTCTATGTGCCTTCTGATGCCTATTACCTGGTCCTGATGACTCCTCATGATCGCACCTGCGGTATGCTTCTTCAATGTGAGCTTGTTGCTTCTCTGCTGAATGGCAGCCTGTGTAACTTCAAGCCTTAAAGATCCCAGACATTATATCTTTTAATAGCCAGGCACCATCGCCTTCTTCACCACATTTGCTTATGCACCTGT